ATTCGTACTGAGCGACAGTTCACGATGTACATGACGGTTTTATTAATAAAAAATTGGTCAAGGTCGAGTGTTGGCGTGAAAACATTGGGCACCTTTTCAAATTTAATGGCTAACTCTTGTTCTTCTCCACGGCAGAGTTTCACCGATCTTTAGTCTATACTGTATCATGTGATCCATCCCTGAAAGGGAAATTCCAGAAAAAATACGGAGGTCTTGGTTGAGGATGAAGCCAGCGACAGGCGATTACCTTGGAGGTCCACAGTCAGGGAAACGGTGAGATAACGCGCTTGAAGAGAACAGCATTCGTGTAAGTAACCAGGTTACTTTGATGACGAGGCTTAAAAAATTTGATCGGGGACCAGGTACCCTTGATTGTCTTCCAGAAGACAGATAAGAGAAAGTACGACAAGTAGGGCAGCATAAATGTCCTCGACGTTGCCGAAAAGACCATTATCCCCGTAATTCTTATAAGAGATCAGAGAGCGCGTGTCGCGAAATTTCAATTCAACCAGGCGAACCTCAGAGCCGAACATAGATATACGGATCAGGTATTAAAAACACCTTATTATTGAATTTCTCTATGGCTAACAACAACCGTCTGTATTCTTGATTTCGCCGCATCAATCTAATCCGTCTTTGATTACTTCCTGTGGCGGATAACGGAATAAGCGGCACGCCGGAAGATGTCGTCTCCTTGATCGGGGTCCACTATCGCTCCAAAACTGCATGAGGTTTGCACCACGAACACTGGATATTCGGTCCGACATTCGACAAGGTTGTATTATGTCGTCCATGCGGTCCAACTGCGCCATTGACTTAATTGTTGTAAGTATCATGTACGGTTTTGAAACAGTCGAATAATCAATCGGGCGCAGGTTGACAGATCTCGGCTATGCCAGTGATATAGTCTTGTACGCGTCAACGTTAACAATTGATGGGATGTGAGGCCGTGGCTAAATGAGATCGTTAGATCAGTCGGGAAGATCAAAGAGTTTTCGAGACACAAACTTGATTACGAAAAGGTACCCCAGGAAGAACGGCTGCCAGTTTGACGTAGACAATTCAAAAGCGAAGCTGCTGTCAAGTGGAAGAAATCGATCACGGAATCGATGCTGCCTGCAAGGTGTTCACAATCCTTAGAAAAAG